AACCTAGTTTGGAGGTAGGAATTGGAAACAGATTAGGAATTACGGACTGCGTTTTCTGAAATAAAAAAAAGGACCTATTTGTTGTCCCTTTCCATCGACCTATGTGGAAGAGGAAGAACGGGATGGAGAGAAAGCGAGAGCTACACTAATTTTACTCTTAAATATCGTCTTAAATATCCGTAAATTCTGGCTTAAACATCCGTAAATTATGGATAAACAACCATATTTTATTAATGAAGTGGGTGAACAAACCAGCATTATTTTCATGGACAGAAAGCAGGGCAGCCTCGGCAGAATGCCGTCGATCGGTGGAATTCACGCCGTCACCGTTCGTGTTATCTTCGCTCCATTCCTCCACATCCGGCAGTTCACATGTCGGTAACTGATAACAATTTTTTACACCAGCTCAATATTTTTAGCTTAAAATGGAGCTCATACTTACTCAGTAACATTCAAATTAGGCTACTTACATTGACTTGTACACCTTTCAAGGACCGTTTCTCATTTCGAGTTATCGGAAAACTTCTTTCGGTGCTCAGCAATGATTTCATGCCCCTGTCATCCCGGCTATTCATTCGATCAATTGACTGACCGCCATGAATCCCTCGGAGTCGAGCACTTGCACTTCCAGTAAAAATAAATTTTTTGGCTGCTTCCTGTAAAAAATTAATCAGGTCTTGCACTGAGGTAGCAGTTTTGGTGTTTTGTAGAGCAACTCAGTAACATCACTAATATGAGAATCTTTTCTTTTCGATTATCAGCTGACGAACGCTGTTTTGCTGTCAGCAGGTATTCGAATAAAACCTCAGAAGATACGGTTTAAACTTTCTTGACAATACTTCATTTATTTATGAGCAGCCACAGTATTTGTTATGAACTTGGAAGGAATATGCTCCGTAAATTGTAATTCAAACCACATAAACTGGACAGGTGCAGTAAAAAAGGGGTCTCCTCGACGATTGGTAGTATTTCCCCGTTTTTTGGCTCCAAAAAGGGGTGAATGAGAAAAGAGAACAGGCTGGAACGCACCAGGCGAGCTGGTGCGATCGT